AGCCCTGTTGTTGTCATCGTCCATAAAATGCTTATCACAGTGGCTGGCACAGTACAGGTGCCCAGTATTGCAGGCATTTCAGGCTGCACGGAGCCAGATTCTCCCCTTGCCCATGGGTCTGAAGTGTTCAAACCACTCGGGGACCTGAGACCCTCACTAGGGGTTCCCTGGTGGTCTGGGGGAGGGTGACCCGCGTGTGGTCCTGTTTGTGTGCTCTGCCTCCCAGGTGAGGCTGCTGCTAATCTCTCGCTACCTGGGCTGCAGGCTCAGGTTTCGGGGGCCCAGGCAGATGTTGCCCAGAGAAGCACTGTTCCCTTAATCCTCGGGGCTTCAGAAATTATCGCTACTGGAGGGAACAACAGGGTGGCTGAGGGCACCATCTGTGTGGTCCTAGCTGGAAGTGCTCACTGGGGTAGGAAAGAGGTCTCTAGACTACCATGTGCACATGTGTGTGCTTGTGTGTGTGTGTCAAAGGCAAGGATGGGGGAGAAGCACCTAATTAATAAATTAATTCTCGTCACGGGCTTGTCCTCCCTAGACATAGTGACCCCTGTTCTTAACTGGATTCTCATGGGGACATTTTCCAAATGCGACTCCTTCAACCCACCTCCCCACACCTGTCTTGCTCCTGGAACCCAGGCAAATGTGGCAGGGTGTGTGGTCCCAGATGGGGCGAGATGGGAATAGTCTTCTCCAGGAGGCTGGGGTTCCCAGGGGGTGACAGGGGCAGGGGCTGAATTAGACCCCTGGAGCCACATGGGAAATGGGCTGAAAAATCAGCTGGGACCACTGGGGAAGGCAAGATGGAGCCTCCTAAGTAGCCAGTTTGCCAAGGGGAAAATGGGCCAGTGACATGCAAAGGCAGGTAGAAGGGGACAGGCACTAGCTGCTCCTGACTGGTCCGAGCGTCCCAGGTTCAGAGCATTTCCCGGGCCTTAGTCCACACTGGTCCTCATGCCAGCAATATGCTGTCTGCAGCTTCACCTCCTCTACCTTGAGTCTCAATGTCAAAAGTGATGGCTCCCCCAGGAAGCCCACCTTGATCTACCGCTCCTTCCTCCACCTGGACGTCATCAGGTGACTTCTCTGAGTTCCCACAATGCATTTGGCCACCTGCATCAATTTTGTTCACTCATTATTTTTGTTTGTTTGTTTTTTGGTACCAGGGATCGAACTCAGGACCTTGCGCTTTCGAGGCAGGCGGCAGAACCACTGAGCTAAATCCCTGGCTCTTGTTCACTCATTATTAAGCAATAATTAATTTTTCCTTCCAATTAGGCTGTTTCTAATGTTTTCAGACAAGGTCTTACTTTGTAGTCTAAGATGGCCTTGAACTCACTGTGTAACCGAGGGTGGCCTCAGACTGGTGGCAATCTTCCTGCCTCAGCCTCCTGAGTGCTTTGATGACAGTGTGTGTCCCCATGCCTAGCAAACTAGACTTTTTTGTTGAGGATTATTACTTTTTCTCCTCAATATACCATTAAGTCAAAAAGAGTATGTTTTGGGCCAGGTGTGGTGGCACACACCTGTAATCTCAGATCTCAAGAAGCTGAAGCAGGAGGATTGCCATGAGTTCAAGGCCAGCCTGGGCTACATAGCAATTTCCAGGCCAACCTCAACTACATAGTGAGATCCATTCTCAAAAAGCCACCACCACCACCACCAACAACAAAAAGAGCGTGTTTTGGTCAGACATAGTGACACACATCTGTCACCTAAGGATCCTTGGAGGCTGAGGCAGGATGATCACAAGTTCGAGCTGAGCTTGGGCAACTTAGTGATTTAGTGAGACCGTCTCAAAATAAAAATCTGAAAAAGAGCTGCAGATGTAGCTCAGTGAAAAGCCTTGGGTTCAACCCCTACTACTGGGAAAAAAAGAAAAAGAAAAAAAAAAAGAGCATGTTTCACTAGGCAATGCCACCTTGTGTACCAAATGCCTGAGCAGGGGACTAAAAGAGACACAGTGAAAACAGCAACTGCTAACAAGGGCTTGGAACAACTAGAACTCTGAGAGACTCATGGGAATGCAAAATGGTACAGCCACGGTAGGGGGAAAACCTTGGCAGTATGGATTCTTTTTTTCAGTACAAGGGATTGAACCCAGTAGCTCCCACTGAGCTTCATCTCAGCCCTTTTTTGTTTTTATATTTTGAGACAGGGTCTTGCTAAGTCATTATCTTGTCCAGGCTGGACTCCAACTTGCAACCCTCCTGCCTCAGCCTCCCAGAGTGCTGGCAATTTCTTATAATGTTCAACCCATAGTCACCGAGGCCCAATCATCCACTCTTAAGTATTTACCATAAAGAGGCAAAAACATTTCTCCCTGCAAGAGCATGTGAATATTCACGAGAATATTCATGAAGAGTGGGGGAATATTCATAGCGGCTTTTCTCATCATTTTTGAACGCTGGACACATCCTAGAACCCGGTGTCCTTGAACAGGCGAATGGCTGAACACAAATGGTCCATCCTCACAGTGGAATATTTAATAATAAAGAGGAGCAACACAGGGCACACACAAGCATGAGGACGAATCTCAGACATTCCTCTTGGCTGCATGTAAGGGACAGTCTGGAAAAGGGGGTGCTGTACAGATGCAGATGGGCTCAGCAGCTGCTAGGGCTGGGGTGAGGGAGGGCGCAGGACACAAAAGACACAGGGGGACCTCTGGGGGGTGATGAGCTTCTGTATCTTGCTTTTGGTGGTCATATGTGACTATATATTGGCTGACATTTATAGAGCTGTACACTGAAAATGGAAATGTCATTGTATGCAAATTACACTTCAGTATACCTGGCTTTTGAAAAGAATTCTTAAAAGGTCAAAAAAAGAGAAGCTAGCCATGGTGGCATATGCCTGTAAACCCTACTACTGAGGCAGGAGGAGCTACATCCTGACACCGTGTCTCAAAAAAAAATTACTAAGGGCTGGATTTAGTTCAGTGGTTTTGCCACCTGCCTCTCAAGCGGAAGGTCCCGAGTTTGATCCCCGGTACCAAAAAAAAAGAAATTACTAGATTTTTTTTTTTTTTTTTTTTGGTACCAGGGATCAAACTCGGGTCCTTGTGCTTGAGAGGCAGGTGGCAGAACCACTGAGCTAAATCCCAGGCCCGCGGCAACTTTAACACCTCAATTGTGATCACTGCGTTGTAGTTATACAGGAAACTGTCCTTGATTTCGGATGCAGGCTGACATAGTCAGGAAAAAGGGACAATGTGTCTGTGGCTTGCATGATTGGGAGCGAGTTGGGGACAGAAGCCTCTCAGGGTCAGGAGTAGGAAGATGCCTGTCACGGAGGAGTGGGTGTAGGTGAAAATGGCATAGGAATTTATTCACTGGCATTATGTGTACAATCTTCCTGCGAGTTTAATCTTTTCTCAAAATAAAAAAAGGTGTTGCCCTTTCCTTATTTTTTCTCTTGAGTCTCACTAAGTCACTGAGTTGCCCAGGCTGGGCTTGAATTTGGAATTCTTCTGCCTCAGCCTCCCAGAGGGCTGGGAGGCCTTGAGGTTTTTGCTGGACTTTTTTCCCAGAATGCCTCTAGAGTCACCCCTGGTGTGGCAGGCAGCCTTCCATTACTATAACAAATACCTGAGGCAATCAGCTTATAAAGAAGATTGGTGGGGCCGGAGATTTAGCTCAGTGGTTTCGCCGCCTGCTGCTCAAGCCCAAGGACCAGAGTTCGATCCCCGGTACCAAAAAAAAAAAAGAAGATTGGTTTGTTTGGGCTCACAATTATGAAGGCTCCTGTTCGGGGTCTGTTTGCTTCATTGCTATTGGGAATAGGGTGAGGTCGCCTATCATGAGGCCACCTATCATGACAAGGAGCGTGAGGGTAACCAAAATCGCTCAGACATGGCCAAGAAGCAGATAGGAGGGAAGGGCCGGCCTAGGATCCCATAAGCCCCTTTGGTTCAAGTATTCAATGACCTAAGGACCTCCCACCAGGACCTGCCTTTTAAAGGTCCCACCTCAGAATAGCACCTCCCTGGGAGCCTTTGGGGGATGCTTATCCAGGTCACAGCACCTTGATTTGGACATCGTTGTTGACAGACAAGCTCCAGGCTTCAGGGATGAAATGCAGGACTCATTTACAGGCTCAGATTCCATGCAATGAGCACTTGTCTTCCAGGGACTTTCAGATGGGGATGGCACAGGCCAGGACAGAAATCCTTCTATAATCAAACGCACTAACACTTCAATATAGTTGTGTTTTTTTTTTCCTTTTGCACTGGGGATTGAACTCAGGGCCTTCACACTGAGCTAGAGCCTCAGTCCGTTTTATTTTTTATTTTGGGCAGGGTCTCACTAAGTTGCTAACGTGCCTAGGCTGGGTTTAAACTCTTCTTTCTTTTTCTTTTTCTTTTTCTTTTTTTTTTGTCTTAAACTCGCTATGTGGCCCAGGCTGGCCTGGAACTCGAAGCGACCTTCCTGCCTCAGCCTCCCAAGTGCTGGGATTACAGGTGTGACCTAGCTTCCAGCTGGATTGTAAACGATAGTTTGCTTGCCGCCTCAGAGCCTTCTCAGTAAACTGAGTTATGAGCTGGTTTAGAGAAGAAGCATCCAAAGATGCAAGCCCCGGGATCCTCTGAGCCCTTTATTCCCACAGACTTCAGTTTCCCCTATGTATCCCTGGTAATTCTGTGTTCTCAGCATCCTGTTTTCCTCCAACATGTTTTGCTGGTTTTCTCTCTCTTGACTGGAAATGGGACACACTGAGTGGCTCCTGAACCCAATGAGAGCTCAGAGTCCTGGGAGAGGGTTGAACCGAGTGTCAGACCCCAAGGTATCCATTAGAAGTGTTCCCTTCCCTTCCAGAAAACTCTCCAGTTGCTGGGCCCATGCCAGACTTTTATTCTGAAGCCGAGGCCACAACCTATGAGGTAATCCTTGGAGCTTCATTCAAAGACGAGTCTCATTGGTTGGTTGCCTAAGCCCCACCCAGGGTTCCCAGCGCCCCGCCTTCTCTGAAGCCTATAAAAGCACATGTCAGCGCTTCTGCAGCCACCAGACACCTGCATCTACCAACAGGACCGGGAACAGGTGAGGCGCTCAGGGGGAGAGCTGTAGCAGCTGCGGGGGGCAGGGGGGGGAGGGGTGGCTTGGGGCTCCGGGACGGGGACCCCGGGATGGAGCTGGTTTGCAGGTCAACACCTGCACAACTTCCCAGAAAGAGACAGAGGGGGCGAATTTTGAAAGTCTCAAAGCCGACACCACCCGGGCTGGCTACCTGGAAGGTAAGTTCCGGAAACGTGCCATGGGTGTGGGGAGCAGGTAGGAATCTTAGTTTTAATGCGTGTGTGTGTGTGTGTGTGTGTGTGTGTGTGTGCAAGCGCGCGCGCGCGCGCCTGCGCGTGTGCCCGCCCCCGTTTGCCATTCTAAAGCTACCCAGAACCGGAGGGAAAGAAATGAGGGGATTCCTAAGAGTCAGAAGAACAGAGACCGAGGGGTGTGAAAGAAGCCAGGGAGGAAAAGGTGGAAGCGAGGCAAGTTTTCTGCTGCGCCGAGGTCGAGGACAGCTCTCCGCCCACCGCGGGAGGGAATCGCCCCGCGCTTCAGCACCGGGGCTCCGGACAGCGCCCCCAGTCCCCGCACCGGTGCCATTCGACTCAGGACCCTGGACAGCGCCCCTGGTGAAGGCTCGGCCTTCCTCCCTGATTTGGTGGTAGAGGGTGCAAGGGAGAGGTTGCGCTGAATTGCCTGATGTTTCTGAAGATTCGCTTCCTCTCTTAAGGGGTTTTAAAAATGAATTATTTTCCAGAGAAGGAGGTGATATCCTGAAGTCTGCGATTGCTAACAGGTAAAAAGGCCAGTTGGGGGAACCGGTGCCTGCCAAGTGGACGTTACTGTGTCCTTTCCAGACTTCAGTGAGAAGCCCTGTGCCAAGCGTTTCATGCACATTACACCGTGCTGTCCCCAACTCTGTGACATGGGCTCACTACACTGGGATGACAGTTGAAGGAGCTGGGGATCTCCCAAGGGCTCTCGGCCCAAGAAGAACTTGTAACAGCTCCACATCCGTCCACCACCAAGTCCCAAATTTCTGATGTGCCTTGGTGGGAGCTGACTCCTTGGGGGTCTCACCGTGCCTCTCTCCAGTGGCACCAAGAACGGGAAACAGGAAGCAATGCAGAGACAGGACGTCCATACATCCAGCTGGGCTCAGGTGAGGGGACAGAGCCACACCAGGGTCTCAGACACGGGGCTGAGGCCAAGGAAGAAGACCAGCGTGGTTGTGGTCCAGTGCTGTGTGGAAGACTAGTGATTTTGTTGTTCTGATGTAGACGACAACAAGTCACAGCCGGCCTCATAGCGCGGGCTCCCGCGTCCTTCACCTGTGGTGGACAAGTCGACAGGGAGGGGCGGGCATGGGGGGTTCAGGGAGGAATCGCCCCCATTGCGGCTGGCTCCGTGGGCCATGGCTGTGGGAATGGCTGGGAAGTGAACAAGGATTTGCACCCGACGAGCCCACACCTCTGTGCCACATGTCAAAACTGACTCGGGCTGGGGTAGCTCAGTAGTGGGCACTCGTCTAAGTGTACAGGAGGCTCTGAGCTCCACCCCCAGAACCACACACACATGTGACTCTAAGCGCAGGACCTTTAACTGCCCTGCCAACCGCCCAGGGAAATCAATGGGGAAAACAGCATTTGAAGCCCCCTCCCTAGCCCAGGGTGCTGAAGACACTTTGCAATAAAAGCTCCAGAAATGATTTTTGTCTTCCCCTCATCCATCGGTTCCGCAGACGCCCCCACAGGACAAGTGTGCATTGTCCATTCGCACCCCCTGTGACTCCTGAGTCCAGTCACTGACACCGCATGGAATTCTCGCAGCATCCAGGCCTTCGTCTTGCTGTCATCTCGGCTAGGAAGGAACTGTCCCCTCCCTCCCAGAGCTCCACAGGGCAGTCTCTGCCCTGGTGCCCCTTCAGCCCCAGGGTCAAGTGTGTTTCTTTACATTCCCACAGACCTGGGACATCAGGGCTCTGGTGTGAATTCCTGTCATGCTCGTGGATCTGGTCCCCATTACTCTGTGAGCTCCCTGCTCTGTCCCCAGTGCCCAGCCTGAGGCCTGGCACCCAGCAGGTGCTCAATATATGCTTGTTGAATCAATAAAGGCATCCAGGACTAAACCAATATGCCAATCAATATACCACACACATATAGACCCTCTTCTGGGTCTCTCCCACAGAGATACCGTAGGGTGATGGTGGTGCCAGGTGTTTATTGAAAGAGTGTAATTAAATTTATGGATACTTGAGGGCCAGCCAGCTAGCTAATAGCCCCGTGGGAGACCCAGGCTCGTTTAATTAGCAATCACAAGGCATTGATTCTTCATTAGCTCGGGTTAGCCCCATCTTCCTCCTCAACTGCCAACAAATGGAATCGTGCTCTCTCTCAGGAGTATCGCCTCAGTGGAGAAAATAGGATTAGAAAACATGGAAATGCTAGAGGCACCTGATGGATAGGGTGGGCAGGGTGTTCACTTTCTGGGTGAAGTCTAAATGTGGGAGAGGTTTCATATATTTAGAATCATCCTCGAAGAATAGGAAAGAGAAAGACACCCAGATATTGTTTTTTGAGGCCCCCAGTGTAAGAGAAAATGTCAGCCCTGGATTCCATAAGTCACCCCACAGGAGCCATTTTGTTTGTTTTTTGGTACCAGGGATCGAACTTGGGGCCTTGCACTTGTGAGGCAGCCGCCGAAACCACTGAGCTAAATCTCTGGCCCAGGGAGCCATTTTGAATAGAACACTCTGTCCGCCTGACCTCCAGCTCTCCCTGCTTCCCACGTGTCCCTAAATATGGCGACCCATGTGCCCTCATCCCGAGGAAAGATGTTCTGCCTATAGCACCTGCTCCTCTCCAGGCTGCTGTCAGCCTATGGACCTGATCTCATGGTCTCAACCGCAGTCCACGAGCACACATGTGTGCACACACACCATTTCTGGGATCGTGTGTGCATGTGGGTACCCGTGTGTGTGTGTGCGCGCGTGCATTTTACTGGGGGTGGAACCCAGAGCCTTCACACTGAGCACCACCGCCAGTCCTTTTTAAATTTCTTTTCCCCCCTCCAGTACTGGGGATTGAACTCAGGACCTTGTGCTTGTGAGGCAGGCATGGTGCTACTGAGCTAAATCCCCAGCCCAGTCCTTTTTTAATTTTTAAAAACAGTCTCACTGAGCAGCTAAGTTGTCCCAGTTGGGGTGGAACTTTCAACCTTCCTGCCTCAGCCTCCCAGAGTGCTGGGATGACAGGCATGCAGCACCACACCTGGCCCTGAGGGGTCTTTCTAGAACACAGATCCGTCAAGCCCCAACCTTTCCTCCCACCCTTCTGGGACTCCCAGTGACTGACTACAGGATAAAATTTCCATTTCCTCAGCAGTCTACACGCTGGGGCCCCCACCCTCCTGAGATCAGTGGCTTCCCATGATCCCACCAGCTACACTCGACCCCACCCAGCCAGGACCACTTGTAGCTTCAGTTCCGCAAATTGTTTCAGGGTGATTCCCCTATGAGAAGCTCAGCAAAGAATGCAGATAAGGAGCTGGGGATTTAGGCCAGTGGTTCTGCTGCCTGCCTCTCAGTCCCAAGGTCCTGAGTTCAATCCCCAGTACCAAAAAAAAAAAAAGAATTCAGATTCTCCAGGACCCTTCCACATTTCTTTTCTCTCCTTCTTCTTCTTTTGAGACAGGGTTTCACTATATAGTTCATGCTGGCCTTGAACTCATTATGTAGCCCAGGCTGGCCTCAAACTTGTAGTGATCCTCCTGCCTCAGCCTCCTGAGTGCTGGGATGACAGACATGCACCACTGCATCCAACTCAGTTCTGTCTTTTACTCTCCATGTCCAGCTCAGTGGTGGCAGCCAATAAATACTTAGGATATCCCTGTCCCCTGTCCTAGCCACCTCCACAGGATCCACTTGCCACTGCTTGGGGCTCTGCTCCCTGGAACGGTGAATGAAACACCAACCTCACTCCCTGGGCTCTGCCACTCCAGCTGTGAGTGCAGACAGGCACCTTGTTTCCTGCTGAGGTCTTGCTGGAGAGACTGAGAGATCTGTCCTGCACGGCCAGAGCCTGATTCTGGTGCTAACGGCCCAGAATCCATGAGTGCCAAGGGCACAGCTGCCTACAACACTGCCCTCACCTCAGACACAGCCACGGCTCCAGGCTCCTCAGTCATCCACTCTCGGACCAGCTGTCCCCAAACTCAGGGCCCCCACAGCCTCCTCAGTTTGAATAATTAAGTAGCAATGACTCACAGAACTTAGGAGAACTTAGCTGCTACAAAATGACAGCTTTATACCTGGGCACAGTGATGCACGCCTGTAGTCTGGGCAGTGAGGGAGGCTGAGGCAGGAGGATCTCAAGTTCAAGTCCTACCTGGACAATTTAGTGAGACCCTGGCTCAAAACAAAATGAAATAAAATAAAATGGGATAGGGTATAGCTCAGTGGTAGAGTACCCTGGGTTTGAACCCAAAGAAAGAAAAAGGGAGGTCATAAAGGACACAAATCAGGAGCAGCCAAATGAACGGAGGCACACAGAAGATAAAGACTGGGAGGATGGCAAATGCAGACCCTGTGTCCTCACCCAATGGAGTTGAGGTTTGTGTGTCAGTGCATTTGCTGCTACTGTAACACAATACCTGAGGCTGGGTGACTTCTAAAGCAAAGAGGTTTGGGGACCGTGGTTCTGGGGCTCCAAAGCTGAGGGCCCACACCTGGTGACAGCCTCCTGCTGGCAGAGCCCTCGAGTGGCACAGAGCATCACAGGGAAGGCATGGCGTGGGAGCGTGTCCTCCAACCTCTGTCGCTCTTCTGACAAAGCCACCTGAAGTCAAGCACGGGGCCCCAGCCTGACGACTTTATCTGACATCAGTCTCCCCCAGACACCAGTCTGAGTGCACACTTCTCGGCTGGCTTGGTGCTACCATAAAGCAGGCCACAGGCCCCTCCCTCCAGGTCACACGTGCCATCTCCTCCCACCCACGTGGCCATGGCACAGGGTTCAGGGAAAGTCACATGCCCTTGGAAGATCTGACGTGCTCAGCTGAAAATCAGGGTTCTGGTGCACAGAGAGAGGAGGACAGGCGCTGGGGACAAGTCTCATCTCTGCTACAGATAGCTAAACAGCCAGAAATACGTTCTCCCTGCTTTCCATGGCAGTGTCTACACCAGAACTCCCAGAAGGCCTTATCTCCTGCTTCCACCATTCAGAAGAAAGATGTGGGGTCATAAAGAAAGAAAACACAAACGAGGACAAGGTGGAGGCACAGTAGAGACATTGTTGCTATAGTTTGGACCTGAACCCTCCACCAAATCCCGTGTGTTAAAACTCAGTCTAGTCGGGCCGGGGATTTAGCACAGTGGTTCCGCTGCCTGGCTTGCAAGCGCAAGAACCTGAGTTCAATCTCCAGTATCAAAACAAAAAACAAAAAACAAAAAAAACTCAGTCTAGTGCCAAGGATTTAGCTCAGTGGTTTCGCCGCCTGCTGCACAAGCACAAGGACCCAAGTTTGATCCCCGGTACCAAAAAAAAAAAAAAAAGAATTGGGAGCTAGAGTGCATGCTTTCATCCTGCCACTTATGGAGGCTGAGGCAGGAGGATCAAAAATTCAATTCCCTGGGGCAACTGAGTGAGACCCTGAGTCAAAATAAAAAAATAAAATGGGCTGAGGGTGTAGCTCAGAGGTAGAGCTCCCCGGCTCCTATCCCCAGTGCCAGAAAAGGTAGGAATATTGCAAGTCTCTGAGCCAACATCTCTCCAAGGCCTGCTCCATGCCAGACACTGGGTTTTGTGTTGTTTTATTTGTGTTCTCTTTTGGTGCTGTGAAAAAACAGTGGTCTCCTCTCTCATCCGTGGTTCATTTCTCCCAGGTTTCGGTTACCCCGGGTCACCTACAGTGTGGAAACATTCGATGTGAAGTTCTGGAAATAAAGTCATGAGCCTTAAACAGAGCACCATCCTGAGGAGTGTGGTGAAAGCTAGCGCTGTCCTGGCCTGCCTGTTAGCGGCCACCACAGTTATCACAGTGCCTGCAAGTAGCCCAGGTTTTATTTTGTTTTATTTCTCACGGTACCAGGAGAGGAACCCAGAGCCTTTACACTGAGCTCCATCCCCAGCCCCTTTATTAATTTTAATTTCGAGACAGGTGTCTTAGTTATTTTTTCTCGTCGCTGAGACAAAATACCCAACACCCAGTGTGAAAGGAGGAAAGGTTTGTTTAGCTCACAGTTTGTAGAGGTTTCCGTCCCCAGTCGGCTGTGGCATGGCAGAGAAGAAGCAGTTCACGGCAGGCAGAGGTAGCAAAGCAACAAGGGGCCTTAGTTTAATTTATTTATTTATTTTGGTACTGGGGTTCGAACTCGGGTCCTTCCGCTTGCAAGCGGGCAGCAGAACCACTGAGCTAAATGCCGGGGCCTAGGGGCCTTAGTTTAGCAGCTTCTTTCTGCCCCTTTTATAATCTATCTGGGGTACTGGGATTAGGGCGATGCCAAACCAATCAGGGGACTGATTTAGTAACCACACACCCTAGATTCAGCCGCCTCTGAAAAGCCCCACCTATGACCGCAGGAGGCTTTGGGGGGCCTTTTAGACACAGCCATATCAAGGTCTCAGTAAATCCCTAAGCTGCCCAGGCTGGGCTCAAATTTTCGATCTTCCTGCCTCAGCCTCCCAGAGCGCTGGGATGACAAGCGTGCACCACCACGCCAAGCAACCAGTATTTCACTTAAAATGGTTTCCAAGCATAAGAGAAGTGGTGCCAAGAGTTCAGCTATGCCAAAAGGAAGCCATGAAGCGCCGCTTCTCAGTCAAAAGGTGACAATTCCCACTGTAACAGGAAAGAAGAAAATCCTGCGCTGAAGCTGACTCTTCTGTTTGGGAGGCTGTGAGAAAGGAAAAAGCAATTCATGCCCTTGTGTGCAGTCTCAAACCCAGAAAGTCTCAGCAAAGGCTTCGCAAGCGCTTAGCCACAGTGGAAAAGATTACAGGGCTCTGTGCTGCCTGTGGCCCTGGGGGTCCACTGGGGGCGAGGAGTGCGTCCCATGGACAGGGGCGGGGGCTCTGTACAGCACGACAGTTTGTGGGGTTTTGGCTTGGATTTCTGGTGCTGGAGGCTGAGTCCAGAACCTTGGGCAT